AAAAAAAAAATAGTGTTGCCTATGAATTGAAGATTAAGAGGTCTAGGGCCAACCTATTATGATGAAACATTGATTTAGCATTAAAATTTCTCACCTCAATTATGGCTACCTTTTCATAGAAATGATAATTTTTAGCTTGATGCAAGGAAAACTTGTAATTCTGAGGAAAATTTGTAACAAACCAAGTGCAATATTTATGAGCATGGAGCTACAAAAGGCTGTGCAAAATCACTATAGGCAGTTATTAGCATGTCATTATAATGAGCTTACAAAACTTGTTACTTGTAAGAGAAACCATATCAAAAGAAAAAAGTAAACAGCAGGACCATGAACTCCATCTTAATAGCCATCTTATAAGAATCAATCAACAGGTTTTATTGGTTCCTCAGAAGAAGAATATTCAAAACTGACTTCTCTCTCTATAAAGTAGGAGCAGCAACAGCAATCAGGAATACATGCATGGATATGAAGTTAGAAGTTTTTAATTCATTCGGCACTAAATGCACAAATTTATACAACTATACTCGGAGAAATTAGAAAATAACCTCAAACAGGCAATCTTATCGTTTACCTATATTTGTTGCAGAAACATGAATAGTTCATTTATAGCATATTTTTTTCATACTAAACACAAAATTATTTCTCAAATTAACCATAAATTTTAAAATAAATTAGAGAAGCCCGATGATAAACCAAGAAGAAGTCTGATAATTTACCAAACCACCCTTCTGCTTCTGCAACACCCCAGTAACTTTGTGCCTCGCCCCGAGGTCCAGCATCTTTACGAGTTTCCCCACCACTAAACAAAAGAAGAGCACTCTCATCTTGAGCTGCAATCTCCACTCCCTCCTTAATATGAGCAACGAAAGTAGAAGCTTGGCCTGGATTTCTTTGATAAGGCTCCAAGAACCATGAGTCTTCCCTATCAAACTTTCCACAGCTCCTACTAATGTAAATAGAATGTCCGGCTACCATAACAAGATTATGCAAATTCTTCAAAGGATAAAAATCAGAAGCTAAACTTAATTTGTCATTTTGGTTCTTCATCAACCGTAAACTATTTTCATACATTGACAGAACAATCAACACAGCCACACCAAATATTAAAGAGGCAATAAAAATTGCAAGGGAGTGCAGCTTATAGAAAAAGCTGATTTGGTTTCCAATAGATTTGATCATTCTGATAAATCTGGACACCGAACTTTTTGGCTTTCTGTGTTTTCTAAAGTTTCCAGATTCCAAATCAATGTCCCCTCTGGAATAAGCATGCGAGGGCTTGGGGCTTCCTGGCCCAAATGTGTGGTTGTTCATGATTTCATTGAACTACTCTGTGCAGCTGAAGAAAGAAACCAAGCATAACCATAGTTATAATTTTGGAACAAAAAATGAATTTCACTAGAAACGATACTCTTCAAGAAAAGATGTCAAGCTTAATGAAAATCCAAGCAAGATCCAAATTATATGAAGTTTCAAAGGGAGCGAAAAGCCTAGTCTTGAGGTGGTGCCCGCTAATAAAATAGATTCAGAGCAAGAAATTCAATCACTCTGTAAACAGAAAGCCTGCATTCAGAGCGCCTCAAGATCAGCAGAAGGAACAAGTTTCTCAACAAACACGCACTAAACTGAAGTCCGAAGATGCCCAGAAAATCTGCGAAAAAAATACGTGGAAATATCAAAATAGTTAGCTCTAGAGTAAAACCAACGAAAAAACTCCACAGGAATATTGATAAGTAACAAAATGCTGCAAAATTGACCAAATCCGTTGAAAATTATAAGATAAATTGAAACGAAAAGGAGAACAGATTAGGATTTAGGGTTCAGGAAAGTAACCTTCATGCTTGATGTCAGAATAATCGAGCTGGGAATCAGGATTCCGATACCAGGGTAGGTATATGAGAAATGCGGGAAGATCACGAGTAAAAGCTTCGAAATGGGTGAAATTTTGCCCGTTTGGGCCTCAGTGCTTATAAGTGCGGCCTTTTGTTTCGCAGATTATCTGAAAACTGCGTTTTGTTGCGTTTCCGTAAAATGCCATTAAATTATTAAATTCATACAGCTGGTTGATTTGTGAATACTGATTTATGATGAAGACGGTGAGAGGGTGTAGAAAGTGTCGAATTGAGCAATCTCAAAGTTTTACTTGTGATTAACTTCTTAAAAAATACTCTTATTTGTGTTTACTCATGAACATGTTGAGCGCAAAATATTTATTTGTCTGTTTCTTTTGCTTGGCGAGTTCAGCACGAGTTCTTCGTGGGTGATGATGTTTTTTTGACGAAAAAATCTTACATGTGGAGTCTGATATGTTGAGCCCAAAATATTTATTCTTGTCTGTTTCTTTTGCTTAGCAAGCCGAACACTAAAACGAGTTGTTCGCGAACAATAAGGTCTTTTTGAAGAAATAATCATACATACAGAGCCTGACATGTTGAGTGCAAAATATTTATTCATGTATGTTTCTTTTGCTTAGCGAGCCGAACAC